GTTTCATTATTATCTTATATTCAAAGACTTTCCACTCTCAAATACATATGACCCAAACTCACATTATAGGTAATCCTCGACTTACAACTATTCATTTAGTGACCATTCAAAGTTACAACAGCAAAAAGCAACTTACGACTAGTTCTCACACTTAAAATTGCTGCAAGCCTTCCAATGGTTCCATGGCTCAAAATTTGGAGCGTGACCAATGGCATGTATTTATGACGGTTGCCTTGGTAACCTTCCCAGCCAGCTTCCGACAAGCAAAGTCAATGGGGAAAGCCAGATTTGCTTAATGACTGCATGATTCACTTAACAACTGCAGCGATTCACTTAACAACAACAGTAGCCAAAAAGATTATAAAATGGGGCAAAACTCAAAATGTTTTGATTTCCAGCTAAAAATATTATCTTTCCGCTTATAATTTATATTTTCCAATCTATTATAGGGTAAGATTCTCTCTCCAATATTCAACAGACTTTTTGATGGTTGTTTTGGATTGTTGCCTGAGTCCATTTGCAAATGGTTTTGTGCTTGATGTAAAACGAATGCTACTGCAGAATTCTTTTTGCAATCAATTATTTAGGGTTTATCAACATTAACGCAAAACAAGGGAGAGAGGGTGAGAAACAGAGACACATTGTGGCCCAAGATTTCGGCACAGTCTGGTCAAAAAGTCAAAGTGACAGTTGCAATGATTTAATCAAAGCTCTGATTGTATTTATGAGTGTTGCATAAAAATTCACCATCTTTTTTTAACCGCACTCTGTACACACTCCTAATTGTAGCATATGAACCACTGGGATCAAACACTAACTTTCGGTTTAAAAAAGTTCTATATAAATTACAGCCAAGAAAACTACAAGGTTGTGCCCAGGAGTCAACCATCACTCTGGATATTCCCCAACTTATAACTACAATTGGGACCACAGTTTCCATTACTAAACAAGGCTAAACAGATTGTTAAGTTGTGCCCAATTTTATGATCTTTTTTGCCATGCTTGTTAAGAAAATCATTGCAGTTGTTAATTGAATCATGCAGTCGTTAAGCGAATCTGGCTTTCCCCATTGACTTGGCTTGTTGGAAGCCAGCTGGGAAAGTCATCAATGATGGATCACATGACCTCAGGACAGTCCAACCATCGTAAATACATGTGGGTTTGCCAAGTGCCGGAATTCTGATAAGATGGTCATGGGATGCTGCAATGGTTTTAAGTGTACCAGTTTTAAGTCACTTTTTTCAATACCGTTGTAACTTTGATTGGTTGCTAAATGAAAGATTGTAAGTCGAGGATTACCTGTACGTAATTTCCTTTAAAGAAGAGGTCCAAGAAGATAAATTGACTTGTGTAATCAGTTACCCTAGTTCTGCTCGCCCTCTTACAGCAAGTCCTATTTAACTGCTATTATTAATTATGGCAAATGCTCTTTTTTAAAGATCATCTATATTCAACTTGTTGTCCAGTTTAGCCATTAGGTACATTTCTCAGTAGTTATCATGAAAGTGAAGAAGTAGGTACACAGGTAGTCCTTGACTTACAACCACAACAGTTTTGCGATCATAAATTGTGTCAGACATTTTTATGACTTTTATTGCAATGGCTGTTAAGGGATTTACCGCTTTCTTTTTTTATTATTAGTTTTATAATATAAAATGTGAAAATACAAAAGTAAATAGATGGGGGACAACAGTAGAAAAAGGAGAAACAAAAAAAGTGTGAAGAATGGGGAGGGGAAGAAACAAAAAGCATTGACTTCCGACTCTGTTGCAGTAAAATCAGACATTAAAATCAAATCTCAACTTTTTACCTTTCTATAGCAGTATGCAGTAGCCATTTCTGTATCAGCAAATCGGTAAAATCCAAACTCATGGTATCATTTTTTTCCACCTCAAGCACAAAGTCCAGAAGCGGTTTCCAAGCAGAAACAAAAGTACTTATGCTCTTTTCTTTTATCAGCACAGTCAATTTGGCCATCTCTGCTAATTCCATCAGTTTTTGTAACCATTCGTCCCACAACCAGTTGTAAATGCAAGCAGGTTAGCAAATACCCAAATTGCGATCACAAGACAATGGGGTGTGTGGCAATTGCCTTAAGTGCCAAGATAAGTGTGAGAACTGGTCTTTTTTTTAACCTTATTGTAATATCAAATGGCCGTAAAATGAATGGTTGTAAATCGAGGGCTATCTATTTTTAACTTGGACTTATAGAAAAATATTGGCACAGGCCTGTGGTTTTCCTTAGATTACATCACATCTGGATGAAGGAGGAATCTGCTGCAGCAGAACTTTATCTGGAGAAGTTCAATATTCTGGAGGTGGTGGAGCAGAGTTAAGTAAAATCTCTTAAGTCTTGGGGACTTCATGGGTGTGTCCTTGCAGTTTTCACAGAGACAATATGTAAATACGTAATTTCCCATTTCCTTCTTCTGGACTTGTTTTTTTTCCCCTTTCAAGTTTACTGTCCATTCTAGAACTATAGAATTTACAGATGCTGCCCACTTACTTTGTAAATTTTCTTTGTGTAAACTTCCTCCGTCCTGAGGTCATTCCTTTCTCGTCCTCTCTCTGTTTAACATTTATCAAATGGATAAATCAACAGAGATATTATCCTTTAAACATTTTCAGATAGATTGCTTGCCAGGTTCTGACATATTGATACAAAGATCTATATCACACATACAGCTCTTCTCAGATTCAAATCTTAGCCCCAATATTATGAAAATAAGAATTGGGTTGATCCAAAATGACCACAAACGCATGATTGAAGTTATGAAGTGTGTGATGGGATCTTGACTTTATTCATCCCTCTGGAGAGCTTCCTGACTGCTCCACAATAATCTAGCCTTTTATCATTTCCAAGCTGTAATTTCAATGGTTCATACAGCCCGATCCAGCTGTTTTCTGTCCCCTAAAAAGCCCAGCTTGTAAAATATGGAGCAGATTAGCTGTTTTTTGCTTCACCAGTAAGGACTGTTTCAAAAGAAAAAATCATAACTCTGCATCCCCATTATATTTTCTCCATAAATCTTCTTATATAACTACTCCTTGGTATTCCCCGTCTTTTGCAATATTTAGATCCAATGAAATTCCATTTCTATTACATGTTCATCTCCTGTGTGGGAAACTCCCACTTTCTCAGCTTGCAAGTAACTCATTTCCAACTTAAGAGGCCTCTGGATGTCTATGCTGATTTTCCACTTCCAAAGTGGACACCTCTGACACTGAATTCCTGATGTGGCTGTGAAAGTATTTTGGAATCTGGAGATCAGCTACAATATAGATCAGTGATTGGCGAACCTTTTAGAGACCGAGTGCCCAAACCGCAACCCAAAACCCACTTATTTATCGCAAAGTGCCAGGGCTGCATTAGCATTGTGGTGCCCTCGGGGGGGCATGGGGACGTGGCCCACTGGGTGGGCATGGCTGCGGTTGTCATGGCAGACTGGGTGGGCGTGGCTGGGGTGGGCATGGCCACCTCGATGTTGCTCATGGGGGGGACACCTGTGGGACCGGGCAGGGTTGGGGAGATCCAGGGAGTCTCTGGCGGGTGGGGCAGTAGGCAGGAGGCCCAGCATAGATGGGGGAGAGGCATACAATCCTAGCTGGGACTGGGGGGCTATGGCCCTGATGGGGATCCAGCTTTCCCTGCTCAGGGTGGCCTTTGGTTTGCTGGGTGTGGGCGTACTCTACCACCTCGAGCTTGCTAGCTGGCCACTTCGCCACCTTTGTGCTGGGTGGGGCTGCCGCTCTGGGCGGCGGCGGACTAATGGACCCGCACAAGCTGCTGGCAGCAATGGCGTGCTAGCCCACAGAGAGGGCTCTGAGTGCCGCCTCTGGCACGCGTGCCATAGGTTCGCCACCACTGATATAGATAGTCCTCAACTTAACAATAGTTTGTTTAGCGACCATTCAAAGTTACAACAGCATTGAAAAAATGTGACTTATGACAGTTTTTCATAGTAATGACCTTTGCAGCACCCCATGATCATGTGATCAAAATTCAGATGCTTGACAAAGCTGGTTCCATATTTATGACCCAAGGTCACGTGATCGCCTTTTGCAACCTTCTGACAAGCAAAGTCAATGGGGAAGCCAGATTCACTTAATAACTGGGTTACTAACTTATCAACTTCAGTGGTTCACTTAACAACTGTGGGAAGTCATAAAATGCGGCAAAACTCATTTAACAACTGTCTCACTTAACAACAGAAATTTTGGGCTCAATTGTGGTCGTAAGTCGAGGACTACCTGTACTTAGCAGCTTGCATTGGGATTTCATACCGTTAATTAATTCATTAAGCACACTTAACTCAAGGCAATGCTAAACAATATATAAAAGCAATGCAACAATAATAAGCATTTAAAAGCTTCAAGTTAGTCATCTTCTTAGTCACTTCAGAAATAAGACCCTTATTATTTAGATAAATAACAATTAAATATAGACATTTTTATCAAATATTAAAGTGATGTTAAAAAAATAATAAAACATTTTTTTAAAAAAAGAAATAAGACCCTGCGGTTTCCCTGGCCACAATTTTTGAGGATGGCTTTCCCTCCTCGTCTTCTTCCTACTGTAGGACTGAGAGAAAATGACCCTTGCCTTTGTGCATAGGGTGAAATCGGGGTCTCCTGGTTTCTAGCTGATGCCTTTAACGCCACACCAAATTGCTCCCCTTCCAATAATAAAACACACTAAGGATATACAGTACATCCCTAAGGTTAGGGCATTGTAATAAATATAACAATCTTGAAATCAGCATGAGTTGTGTTGCTTTGGCAAGCGATAAGAACAGCTGCCAAGGACTTTTAGCAGGCAATTTCCTGCTTTTCGAGGCGCCCGGATTTTTTTTTCTCCAGCTGGGGTTTCTCGCCCTGGGAAGCGGGCGGGTTACTGCCCAGCGGTGCCACCTCCCAAGATGGCCGCCAGGCAGCCTTGGCACGCCGCACACGTGGGCACCGAGGCTGGGCGCAGGCGCGCGGCTCCCGGCGCTGCCGGGCTGCTCGTAGCTGCGGCGGTCCCCGGGAATCGGGTTCGGGACGGGCTTTCCCTCCTGCCGGATCCCAGCGTCGAGCATGGCGAGCCGCCTGCCGCCCTGCGTCGTAGACACTGGCACCGGGTGAGTGAGCTCTGCGAAAGCCGAGGGCAAAAGCCGCTAAGGCGCGGGCTGCCCTTCGCGGGATCGCCTCCTCCTCCTCCTCACGCAGCACTAGCGGCTTGGCTGGGTTGGGCAGGGCTGCCCTGGTAGGGTCGGGCAAGTCGCCGCTCTCTGCTCTTCTCCTCCCATCTCAGATTCGGAACAGGTGGGCGGTTTGGCCCTTTCCCTAACCTCCTCCGCCCCCTTTCCTCCGCCAGCACTAGCGCCTTGGCTTTGCTCTCCTGGTAGACGGAGCTTTACTTTCGGTCCAGACATATCGGCTCTCTGCACCTGCTCCAGCCCTCCTCCTTGATCTCAGGACAGGGACGCTCTTTCTACCTCCTCCCAGCCCTGCTCTGGATTCAAACTCTGCCATCCTCATCTCACCCTGTGGCTGTACTAGGAGAGCTGAGGGTCCTTGTGCCAAATGGGGGCTTCTTCACACGACGGAGGGCTGCGCTAAAAAGAACCACGTGCTTTGCTTCTACGCGGTTTCCCCTCGCAATCCTGAACTAGTTGCAGGGCTCCGTCCTGCTTCTCTGCCCTCGCATTCCTGTCTTTTCACGCCTCCCCGAAGGACGACTTTTTTCTAGTGCCTCTGCTTCCCCCTAATGCCAGATCCCGCCTCAGCCCCCCCAGCAGTCTCATTCTGTTGTTTTTAGGAATAATTAGCTGGAGGCCCCAGAGATTAGTGAGGATTGCACCCCTCTTGAGTCACTTCTCCCTGCCCTTCCAGCCTGGGACCCATAATTGCCTCTCCTTGACTTCCTTGCAAGGACACACACCAAGGGGCAAATAGCTGTGTTCCTTCCTCTTCTGAAAAAGCAAACAAATTTCAAACTATCAGAAGTCAAGTAGAACCAGCCATTCGTCCTTGATTATAGAAGGAGAAAAAAAAAACAGTTAAGCATCTGTTTCTCCCATCCTTTCCCAGTTTTGTTACTGTCTCTAAAAATACACACTGAACTAGTTCTCTCTTATTTCTCAGCTTTCTGCCACACTTTCTTGCAAGCCCTGGAAATCCCCACAAAAAAAACAGCTCTCATTTTATAGCTCCATTTTCCACTCATTTAACATATAGGTTCCATTTCTTAATAATAATAATAATAATAATAATAATAATAATAATAATAATAATAATAATAATAATAATGATAAAGTTGGAAGGGACCTCGGAGGTCATCTAGTCCAACCTCCTTTGTTCTCCTTCAGAGAACAAAACTTGAGAACTGGGTTCCTTTGCTAAAGATTCTACTTGTCGTGGCAACTAGCTCAGTTTGCCATTCTATACAGGTACTCCTTATGATTATTATTGAGCTCAGAATTTCCATTGCTAAGCGAGACAGCTGTTGTGAGTGTTGCCCCATTTTGCGACCTTTTCTTGCCATAGTTGTTAAATGAATCACTGCAGTTATTTAGCTAGTAACACGATTGTTAAGTGAATCCGGCTTCCCCATTGACTTTGTTTGTCAGAATGTCGCAATGGTTTGAGCACATGACCCTGGGACACTGCAACCGTCATAAATACATGCCAATTTCCCAGCGTACAAATTTTGATCATGTGACCCTGGGGATGCTGCAGTAGTTATAAATGTGCATAAAGGTCATACGTCACTTTTTTCAATGCCATTGTAACTTCCAATGGTCAGTAAACGAATGGCTGAAATTGTGGGCTACCTGTATGTATATGTATTAGTATATTGCCTTTATTATTTTTACAAATAATTCAAGGCTGCGAATATATCCAATATATTCCTCCTCCTATTTCCCCCCAAACAACAGGTCTGTGAGGTTGGCTGGACTGAGAGAGAGTGAGTGGCCCAAGGTCACCCACAACTGGTTTTCATGCCTAAGGCAGGACTTGAACTCACAGTTTCCTGCTTTCTAGCCTGGGTGCCTTAACCACTAGACCAGAGTTCTCCAATCTTTCCAGGCTCGCAGCCCGGAGGGGAGAGCACCTTCCAAATTACTGCATGTGCGCGCGTGTACACGGACGCAAACTGGTGCAGTACTAGCGACCGCATTCGCGCATGCAGCATGCACATGCACGAACTGGGCGTACACGCCTCTCTGCGCTAGCGTTCCTGTTCGCACCCATGCACATGCGCAAACAGGGCTATGGGCATTAGCACGAATGAGGAATGCGTGCCCACGTGTGTGTGCCCTGGCCAGCCATTTCTGCAGCCCGCTGACCAAGTGCCCATAGGTTGGGGACTCCTGCAGTAGACTAAAGTGGGTGTCCTCAACTTATGGCCACAATTGGGACTAGAATTTTCATTGCTAAGTAAAGTGGTTGTTAAGTGTCTGAGCGTCTGAGTTTGGGACATTTTTGCCATGATTGTTAAGCTATAATTATTATAATTGTTTCGTGCATCCGGCTTTCCCCCATTGACTTTGCTTGTTGGAAGCTGGCTGGGAAGGTTGCAAATGGTGACCGCGTGACCTCTGGACTCTGCAAAAATGCCAGCTGCCAAATTCCCAAATTTTGATCATATGACCTGTGGGAATATTGCTAGGGTCATAAGTGTGAGGGCCAGTTGTAAGCCACTTTTCCCAGTGCCATTGTAACTTGACTGATCTTTCATACCATTTCACAAATTATTTTCAAAACATGTCTCATTTGGGAAAGACAAATTTTGCAACAGCTGGTTGCAATGACCCTGACTATTTGTTTTCAAATGTGCAAAATTAAATGCACAGTTTATATTGCTCGGTTTCACATGTTGGATTTTGTGTTGAATTTTTCTTTTTAGTTCGTCATCAACACTTTTTTTATGTGATGAAGCATGAGCTTAGCTCTGTCGTTCCCCAAATAATATGAATTATTGGACAAAAGGAATCTTTGCTCCCTTGAGAAATCTTTCTTTTTTCTCAAAGGTTTGTAAATTCTGTTTATTTTGGTTCCTGGTTTGCTTTTTTTCTGAAGACGTAACATTAATAAGTAAAATTTCATTAAGCAGCACAAACTTCATCATGCTGTCACAATCTGTGAATGTTTTTATCCTGATCCTGAAACAGATCAAACATAGAAAAAAGACAAAACTTAATATATGAAATCAACATTAATTAATACATTAATCCAGACAACCAATGGGAAGAAATCCCAGGGTAATTAAAGAATTAAATTACACGTCAGGCATTATTTGCAAAACTATAGATAAGAGTAGAGAAGAGTGATTAAGGGCCTCCTTCTTTTATTACCATAACATAAACATGTATTTAAAGTCACCTTATTGTGGGAAGGAAACAGTAATAAGAGTGAAGCAATGAAAACCAAATCAGAATTCCTAAGATATAAGGATGGCTGTGCATCCTGGTTTTAGAAGTGCAGGGATAGTCCTTGATTTGCAATCATTCCTTAAGTCATTCAAATCATTCAAATTCATTCAAAGTCATTGCACTGAAAAAATAGACTTATGACCAGTTCTCACACTTATGACCGTTGCAGCAGTCCCACAGTCACATGATCAAAATTTGTGCGTTTTACAACCGTCATGAATTTGTAATGTTTGCAAAGTCCTGGGATCCTGGGATTATCATTTTCACCATTGCTTGCTTCTGACAAGCAATGTCAACGGAGGAAGACAGATTTGCTTAATGACTGCACGATTCACTTAACAACTGCAGTGATTTGCTCATAACTGTGGCAAAAAATCATAAAATGGGGCACAATTTGGTTAACAACTGCTTTGTTTAGTAATGGAAATTTTCTGCTCGCTTTTGGTTATAAATGTACCTACAAGCCCATCAGATGTATAATCTTCTATATGGACAATCTTTTCTTTGTTAATATAGAAGTGAAATAGAAAAGGGCTATTTCTGATTTCTATTGTACCTAATAATCAGTTATCCAAATTACTACAGTGGTTGCATCAGTCTGTATCCCTGATGGGTTGTAAGGATGTTAGATGCTAATAAATCTGCGTCTCTGTGTCATGCAGTCCAATATTGTTTTGGTAACTGATAGATCCTTTGTTCATTAAGGGCTTGTCCTCCTTCTAAACTCCATAGTATTGTTGGGATAGTTTTATTTTGGATTTTTTTTGTTTTAGATTTTTTTTTATCCTCTCTTTATTTTTATAAATAACTCAAGGCACTGACATACTTAATACTCCTTCTGTTTTTCCCAACAAAAGTAACCCTGTAAGGTGGGCTGGCTGAAAGTCATCCGGTTTTCATGCCTAAAGTGGAACTAGAATTCACAGTCTCCTCTGGTGACTGGCCCAAAGTCACCCAGCCAGCTTTCATGCCTAAGGCAGGATTAGAACTCACAGTTTCCTGATAATTGGCTCAAAGCCACGCAGCCGGCTTTCATGCCTAAGGAGGGACTAAAACTCACAGTCTTCTGGTGATTGGCCCAAAGTCACCTGGGGAGGGGACTAGAACTCTTAGTCTCCTGGTTTCTAGCCTGGTGGTTTAACCACTAGACCAGGGGTAGACAACCTTGGCTCTTTTATGACTCGTGGACTTCAACTCCCAGAATTCCTGAGCCAGCCATGCTGAGGGGAAAGGGAGAGTTTCCAAGCTGAGCCATGCTGGCTCAGGAATTCTGGGAGTTGAAGTCCACGAGTCATAAAAGAGCCAAGGTTGCCTACCCCTTCATTAGACCAAATTTAGGCGGATCCATTAATAGCTGCATAACACAACACTATCTGCCTGTTTCAATTCTCCTTTTAGTTTCTATCAATCCTCTCTCTTCTGCAGTTCTAGAGATCAGCTTACACATTGACCCTAAAGTCAGGAGGCATTCTGATCTATTTAAAACTTCCTAGATGGCATGCCTCTGATGTTATTCAATCTGACTGAGGTGGCATTGCATATATTAATGAAGGCCTAATCTAGTAATCCCATATTTAATTACATTTAGATGAGTAATCTGGTCAGCTTCCAGGCTTTTCATTTTTGGTGTAGAGTTTGCAATTGAATCAATATTGCTAAATATATCTGTATTTCAGGAGAAGGTCTCCATGAACTTGCTAGGACTTCTGAGAAACCTGCTGAGGATTGCCCTGTAAATCGATACAACCTCTCAGAATATATCTGGATTGCAAGATCAAAGTCCTGTATACCATATCAGATAATGACATTAATTCTAGAGAGGTAGTGACACGTTAGATTGATTTCACTTCAGGTGCCAAAACGTCTCTGAACATTGCATGCAAAGCAGGCATAACCAAAATGTGTTCCTACGGAGCAGAACCTGAGATTTGAAGAAAGAGGTTGGGAGCAGTCTTGAAAATTCCATTTTTAGGCATTCTCTTCTATTTTTGGCATTCTTCAGTTGGCTAAGACTAACAGTGAGGCTATGAGGCTGTATTTGTAAACTGTAGACATTTGGAGGGTAGCAGGTTGGTGAGGGTTGCCCTGAGTCCGCAAGGAGAAGGGCGGGATATAAATATAAACAATAAATAAATAAATAAATAAAGTGATTTAAGATCTACCATTTTGATGGGAAGATATGAGAGTCATACTATTTTTACTTATTTTATTTCTTAATTACATTTCGATCTCATCTTTATTACCTCATAAGTAACTCAAGGCAATGAATTTACTTAATACTCCTTCCTTATCCCATTTTCCCCACAACAACAATCCTGTGAGGTAGTTTGTGCTCAGAGAGAGGGAGTGACTCAAGTTACCTAGTTGATTTTTATAGCTAATGCAGGACCTGAACTCACAATCTCTAGTAATTGGCCCAAAGTCACCCAGCTAGCTGGGTGAGGGATTAGAACTCACAATGTCTTGATTTCTAAGTTAGGACTAATCAAACTGACAATTTTCTTAAAAATAAAGTTTCCTGTTTGTGTTGAGTTTTAACTCTGATCACTTTATGGCTGTAACCATGCAGATCCCTGAGGCAGGGTCTCAAAACTGGAAGACTGCTATCATGTCCCCCCTAGTCCTTCTATTCTCTAGACTGGCCATTCCCAAATCCTGCAATTAGGTAGATTAATCCAATTTGCTGGTTCAATTTTGATGAAATTATGGAACCAGCTCTAGATAGTTTATTTAGATAGTTTTCTGTGTACGTGTCTATGGGGGCTGGAATTAGATATTGTCTCAAAGCAAAATGCTTGGAAATTGGCATGTATTTATGATAGTTGAGGTGTCCTGGGATCAAGGGATCACCATTTGCATCCTTCCCAGATGGCTTCCAACAAGCAAAGTCAATGGGGGAAGCTGGATTCACTTAACGACTGCATGATTCACTTAACAGCTACAGTGATTTGCTTAATAACTGGTAAAATCAGGCGTGATTCACTTAACAACTGTCCTGCTTAGCACTCAAAGTTCTGTTCTCAGTTGAGGTCAAAAGTTGAGGACAACCTGTAGAGCTGTTACAAAGAATGATAGATCCTGAGCTTCAGTCCGATTCTTGCTTGTAAATCTAAAAGATCATTGTCTGACCCTTCAATTCAAGGTTCTCTGTGGCTGAGAGGCTAAATAAGATTACAGAGCCATCATCCTTGGAATTAGACATGGTGGCTGAACTTCAACCTTAAACTGGGCATAGATGGAAATATGGAGGGCTGTTCCATATAATCTTCTCAAGGACCTTCCAGGCAGGCCAGTTCTCAAAAGCACGGGAGATGATGCACCTTGTTCAGTCCACAGTTTTAAGTTACTCAGGACTAATTACTTCCATTGATTTTAGTGAAGCCAAAGCATTAATCTATAATGTTAAAATCAGTATATAGTAATTAGTAATCGAAAGAATTATAAATTATATTCAATCCAATAGTGAAGTAATCAAAGACTAAGCAGAATTAGGGATGATAGGAAACCAGGCCGCCCAAGAACACGGTGGCTGGACACCATCAAAGCTGACAGCAGAGCATAGAACAACTCAAAGAAGCAGTGCAAGATCGGAAGATGTGGAGAGATCAGGCCCATAGAGTCGCCAAGAGTCAAACATGACTGAATGAATAACATCACCACCATCGAGCAGAATTAAACATCACATTAATCTAATAATTACTCTTTAGACATTCTCGAAGGCTTATCATTTTGGGGCTCACTGACCCATTAGAAAGTTTTGCAAATATAAGCAATGGAAAAATTGGACATGCAGTTATGGTCTTTAGCCCTGGGCTTAGAGGATGAGGATCCAGGGGTCTTCAGACTTGGCCCTTTTATGACTTGTGAACTTCAACTCCCAGAATTCCTCAGCCAGACATGGTGGCTGAGGAATTCTGGGAGTTGAAGTCCACAAGTCATAAAAGGGCCAAGTTTGAAGACCCCTGGTGTGATCAGTAAGTGTGTTGTGTTGAAAACTGAATGCTTAGCATTAAAGCAAGGCCTAGAAACGCAGGTAATCAATAAACACATGGAATGCAGCCTATGTGTTTCTTCTTTCGAACTCATGCTTGCCTTCAAGCAGTAGTTAAAGTAGTTTAGTTTCCATGTTGTTCTTAGAGCATATTACAATATTCTAGCATATTTTGAGCTACAGTTTTATTACTAGATTTTCATCTGATCTTTATTGCTTTATCAGTAACTCAAGGTGACAAACACATCCAACACACCTTCCTTCTGCAATGTTCCCTACAACGACCAGGCTGGGCTGAGAGAGGGACTGCACAAAGTCACCCAGCTGGCTTTGATGCCTAAGGTGGGATTAGAACTCACCATCTCCTGGTGATTGGCCCAAAGTCACCCAGACAGCTATCATGTCTGAGGTAGGACTAGAACTTACAGTCTCTTGGTTTCTAGCCAGCACCTTAACCAACACATCAACCATCATTCTCAGGTAGAATTACTGATGACCAGGAATAAAGGAAGGCCAGTCTTCAAATTTCTATGGGTAGCAGGCCAAGATGTTGCTTACCTTTAAACTAAACTGAAATCCATTCTTCTCAGATTTTGATCAATATTCTGGTACCATCCTTCCGGACACTTTGGAACAAAGATACTCAATTTATCATTACCAAAATACCTTACAAACACACTTTAAAGCAGAGGTCTCCAACCCTGGCAACTTTAAGACTTATGGACTTCAACTCCCAGAATTCCTAAGCCAGCATGGAAGTTGAAGTCCACAAGTCTTAAAGTTGCCAAGGTTGGACACCCTTGCTTTCAAGATTTTAGCAGTGGTGATGGTGAAATAAGATTTATTTATGGCCATCCCTGTTGCAGATTGATTTTGAAAAAGGAGTCTTATATACATTTGCATTTGTTCCAAGTCTTCTACTGTTTATGTTGCCTTTCTCCAGGGCAGGTGTAGAAACCCAGCAATTTGGATGAAGAGGCGTATTTGTGCTTTACGAAATGTTATGCATTTACCTACATGAAATTCTTGATCACAATATGTCTTTATTTTATACAGAAAAAGCTGGCACAACATGATGCATTTATTTACAAGCTGATTTGTATACACTTGGCTTGGCTAAACCACACCGAGTCTCTGATTATCCACTTGCTTCTTATTCTAGGTACACAAAACTGGGTTACGCCGGAAATACTGAACCACAATTTATTATCCCATCATGTAAGTAGAGGGTGCTCTGTTTTCAAAATACGTGCTCATCAGTGGAAAGAGACAAGCATTTGGCTTCTGTACTGTCTAGTGAGTTTCCTTGGGGGGTTGAGGGTGGGATGTGTGGGTCTCTTTCTGTGAAGTAGTATTTACAACATTAGTGTCCTTGGCTAGTATGGAGCTGGAGAGACAAAGGTCTCCTTGCCAAGACTGGCCCTCATTAAGCCACTTTCTGGTTGCTATGACAAATCCTCTTTCCTTCCTATCTCTATTATGTGGCTGCCAGAGATCTGCCTTGACGAACAAGTGACTTCCTTTTTTACCTGACACCATGGATACAGCTTGAAAGACTTTTCACTTGGGGTACCCTGTGGGCAGCTTGTATTCTGAATTGAAGATGCCATCTGGCTGTGGGACAAAGCACCTCTCTAACAGCAAATATTTAATTGTTCCCCAAAGCAAGGATATCAACAGGCTTGATTATTTGCTTTGCAACTCTTTCATTTAGGCATTGCAATAAGAGAATCGGCCAAAGTAGGTGACCAGGCACAGAGGAGACTGGCCCAAGGCGTGGATGATCTAGACTTTTTCATTGGAGATGAAGCTCTCATTAAACCCACCTATGCTGTAAAGGTAAAGTTGGAGTGAATAATGGGAGTGTCGGGCACAAAGAATCAGAAACATATGTTGAGTTTTGCTTTCAGAAGATTTATTGCTCAAAACTATACTTGAGAATCTCATCAGTTAAAGTTCAGTACTAAATTGGCACCAGTTAAGAACAGAATTCAAGAGAGGTTGGACTTAGATGTAATGGGAACGTAATGACTCTAAGCTAATGAGGTGCTTAACTCCACCCCCCAGCTCTGCCTGCTCTTCTCATACATTGAGCTTTCAAAGGAATGGATCAGCAGCCAGTTCTTTGCATTTCAGACATCCGCAGAAAGGATTCAAATAAATCAAGATGATGGATGTGCCCACATGATTGAAGCCCTGCTCCTTTTTGCAGGAAGTCCTTGACTTATGATCAGTCATTTAGTGACCATTTGACAGACATAAAAAAGGCTGCTTACAACCTGGATTTGAAGTGCCAATGTACTCCCCAGGATCTTGTGACTGCATTTTTGGATGCTCAGCAACTTGCCTGCACTTATGACTGATTGCAGAAGTACATGGTCACATGACTGCAATTTATGACACTTTTGCTGGAAACTGATGCTTATTTATAGTTTCCAGCAAAAAAAAAAAAAAAAGCAAACAATGGGTTCACTTAATGACTGTGGTGTTTACAACTGCTGTGCTCTCTTAATGACCACTGTAAAAAAGATTGTAAAATGGGGTGTGGTCACATGATGACCTGCTTAACGACTGTCAGACTTACGATTGAAATTGCAGGCTTAATTACAGTTGTAAGGTAGTTGTAAGAACTACCTTTACATGCATATAAATTACATTGAAGTACCCGCTATCTTGATTGTTTTGGCCCTCCTCTGCAGATGTTCTTTTAACCCATGTAAAGTTTTTGGCACATTCTGGGTCCTTAATCTTTCTGTACCGTAGAACCCTTTGAGACTGCGGAAAGCTACGTATAGCTTCCCAGAAAAGTATATTTGAAGGCCTGCCATAAACTATATAGATGTAGATTACATCACAGAGCATTGATGCTCAAATACAGTTATCCAAATATTAAAGAATAATTCAGATAATTTTAGCGAGTGATACTGATGTTTTTGGAGTTTTTAGGCTGTCAGTTGACTTTGTTATCTAGTTTCATTATTGGATGGAAAATTAGAGAGTGGTGAAAATAAAAGTCATAATTTATTTTCCTTTTGAATTCATGGACCCCTAAAATCTCAGGTGAAAACCCCCTGCTTTAACTCTAACTAAACAACTTCTAGAATTCCCATTCAGCCCAGTCATTAGGCAGTTGTAGTCCCAGCCAATCTCGAAGGCTATTTGAAGTTCACTTCGAATTATGAATTATTGCATCAATTTTATCCCCGTTCCCTGAATTTTTTTTATAGATATTTCATTAGTTTTTAACTATAACAATCTCCAGTGCCTGGTGTACAGCGTGTTGTCTTGGTTTATATTTTAACAAGAAAAAAAGGACAATAATAATTAATTAATAATCAGTAATAATTAAATTTGATAATTTCAAAATTAATATATTAATTAATGATACATTACTTTGATCTTCCTTTCTCCCATTTGTATTCTCCTTCTTCAACCTTAGCCAAAATATAATTCTTATATTTTCAATATATAAATGATTAGATATAGGCATTTTTTATATTTATACAAATAATAATAATCTCTCTCTATATAACATTTTTTTCAGCTTATATTATTCTCATAACCATCATCTCATTAGTTCAGCATACATCCTATTTTTATAATTTTTGTTTGCTTAAATTCCCTTATATTCAATCCAATTCTTATCAGTCATAATTTCTTCATATTAGTCATCTAACTGTCCAAATTTTCCCATTTAAGTACCTCCCAATATTTTATATCATGCATTATAAAAATACTATACTTTTTATCTATCTTATAATATCTAGATATAACATCCTTTTTAATCAGTTTATATTTCACTTATATACAGTGCTTTTTTTCTAAAAAAAAAAAAAAAGGTGCCGGAACTCACACACATCATAAAACCCGCCTTGCCTACCCTACAAGGTTCCATCCAAAAAAGGTGCCGGAACTCCGTTCTGGGCGTTCTATGAGAAAAAAAGCCCTGCTTATATATTAATAAAAGTTACATCAACCTACTATTTTAACATTTCATATTTTATAAAGCATACTATATTACTTAAATCTCTTATCCTTCTTGTTATAAGGCCCCTTTGTGTTCAAAATTCTCTGTTCTTTTAGCCATATTCAAACAAATGTTTATTCACGTAATAGTCCATCTGGTAGGACGAGTCAAATCTCTTGTATCTGTCTCTACCCTTCTTCTTTTGCCGAATAATTTTCCAAGTTGATGTAATCCGCCTATCCAGCAGTTCCTGTAGTTTTACAAATGTTGTTGGGAATACAAAAGATGAAATAAGTAAGATAAATACTTTCTGCCTCCCCAACTTTGATGGCTCTCCTAATAATTCCATTTTTCTTGTTGTATCAGAACCTTGAAGCTTTTTTCCTGTTTGTGTCAAATTGTAATTCTTTTCCTTTGTTGTTTCATCAATTTGATCATACTCTTCTAATTTGTAGTCGGCTGTCTGATTTTTTTGTTCCTTTCTTATTATTTCCTGGGTGTTTTTTAATTGAAATTTAGATTGGAAATATGCTTATTTAAATCAACAAAGTTGTTTTGGATTTCCTTGTGGTTTGAGTCTATTGTCATTTGTATTTGTCCTAACATTATATATATTTTCTCCTGGAAAGTATTTATCTTGCTCTGAAGTGTTGCTTCTGGAGGCCCTTGATTTTCCAGGCTATGTCCTTCAGGACAAAATATTGAATGTGGCATCCTGTCATTTTTTGATACGTATGTGATATCCATGTTGTCTCCTCCCCTTCAAGTAATCTTTCATCAATGTTTTAATTCAAAAATAAATGTATCAGTCAGTCAAAATTACAGTTCAGTATGTTAAGCCACTTTAAATCCTTCCTACAGATTCTCCTCTAAAAGATTAGCCAAAAAGCCAAGGTTTTTCTTTTCCATAAACAGTTCTTAGATTTAAGCAACAATCCAGGTTTTTTTTTCTTTCAAACACTTTTTAATCTTATAGCTGACTCTTCCTTTGTTCCCAGCTGTCTTAAAGGTTATTTGCATTTCAATGGAACAACTTTTTCTTTGTTTCTAGGCAATTTCTGAGTCCTTATTGTTAGTGTTCTATTCTCTGAGTCTCCACTAAATGTCAGCAGTTATTTCTTTTTTCAGTTTTTCTTTCAATCAAAAAGTTATTTTTGTTATATATTTTTATAATTCGATCAAAATTTTTTTAGGGTATAATCTTGACAGTTTTTTAGTTCCTAAATTTGTCCAGACTGATGTATTTTAAATCAAATTTTAATATATTTCTTCCTTCCTTTAATATTAATTCACCGCTTCCATCTGTAAGGGAATGGGGATATAGTCACCTCCCTTCACTTCTGGAGGTTTTCTTCCTTCTGGGGATCTTTTCAAGGATTTAGATAGTAGATAGAAGAAAGAAGATCAATACTCTCACCAATTCCAAGCACGCTGTTCACGGATGTTTAGGTTCGTGCTCTGGGACTTTCGGCTGCAAGCAGCTTGGGCTAGATGCTGATCTCATGCTAGCCTGTCTCCTGTCGGGTTTGGAGGGCTTTCCCCAGATCAAACGAAGCGATTGCCGTCACTTTGTGATCCATGGGGTGCCCCTCCTTCACGGTCACCTCTCCGGGGCAACTTCAGACCATCTAGGGTCCCCCAAGCAGGAAGAAACTAGCTGTGGGGAGCGGAGGTCCGCTCTCGTGCGGCTATGCACTGCGGGCACAAAACCAGAAGTCTCCCCATTCCCTGAAATTTAGTTTTCCTTTGATCTCCTCTTCCAAAGGCTAATGTAGGCCTTTCTACTTTGCCCCGGCATTTGTGTATCTATGCAGATTCTTAGTCATCCAGGTCATGATTGTCTCAAAGGTGCTTTTTCGAAAAGCAGCTGGACTGTTTTTTTTCCTTGAGGAAGCCATTTTGTAAAATGTTTTTCTCAAGGAAAAAGGCAAAGTCTAGTTGCCTTTTGAAAAAGCACCTTTGAGATTAATATATCTCCCTGCCTCTTGCTTTCCCTAATACTTACAATAAAGATGCATTTATTGGAAGGAAGATCCAGCAGAAGAGATTTTTGAGGAAACCAAAGGCCATTTGTAGGAGTAGGAACAGATTTGGCAGAGAATTGGGTTAGAGATTTACCAGACCATTTGAAGTTACAACAGCATTGAAAAAAGTAACTAATGACCTTTTTTTTTAAAAAAAAAAATTTTAATTGATTTTTAATTGAAAAACAAAAACATAAATCTTTTATCACAATATCAACCAGAAAGAAAAAAAAATCAACACCAATCAATACATTCACGGACGTGTCCGGTGTCCCCCTCCCGCACCACCCTCTCACTTACCTACACCTTCCTCCTCCCTATCCTACCACCACTCCTCCTCCCTCCCTCTTACCTACCTCCCTTTCCCCCTCAGCCATCCCGTCAGTGCAGTTGGGGTATCACCGGGCACCTCCTTAGAAAATCATACATATATATACATATAAATCTATAATGCCAACCTACCCCTTTCCCCCCTCCCCCCCCCAGGACTTCCCAGAGCTAATCTAGGAAATAAATGCACAATCATCCAATACTAATCAAAACTACTCATTATTACTACACACTAGTACAAAATTACTGTGACTCTAAAATAACATTAGATTACAACAAAAAGAAAAATTTTAAAGTTATATCAATATAAATATACCTAATTTTATTCTAAGTTTTTAATCAAAANGTGACATTTCTTTTTGATCCAAATTGTCCATAATACCCAATAGAAATAACTGCGGTGTGAATTTTATCTTTTTCTTAAAAATCTGTTGAATATTCCACCAAATCTTAATCCAAAAAGCTTTAACATCCCTACATGTCCACCAGATGTGATAATAAGTAGCATCCATACTACCACATCTCCAACATTTTGGTTGCAGGTTTGGATACATGCAAGACAATTTTTGAGGATCTAAATGCCATCTATAAAACATTTTGTAGAAATTTTCCCTTAAGTTCTGTGCTTGAGTGAACTTGACATTTCTTACCCAAATTTTCTCCCAAGTTTCCAATTTAATTGGTTCTTGAATATTTTGAGCCCATTTAATCATACAATCTTTAACCAATTCCATTTCCGAATCAAATTCTATCAAAACACTGTATATTCTCCTAATATGGGCTCTACTTTGATCTTTAATCTGTTTTATCAAGTTCACATCTTCTATCATTAAACCCAATTTTTGGTCTATATGCCATCTCTCAACAAGTTGAAGATGTAACAACCAGGACTGGAGAACCTTATCCTGTTTTAACTCCTCCAATGATTTAATTTGCCAGTCCTGCCCTCTTAACCTAAGTAACTCTTTATAAACAATACCTTGTAATTTAACTCCCCTTACTATTCCTTGTATTGCATGTTCCGGAATAGCCCACATAGGGATCTTAAAATTTAACTTATGCGAATACTTTTTCCAAACTCTCAAAAGTGCAATTCTTAAAATATGAGATTTAAAAGCCCGATCAATTTTCTTATCAAAAAATAAGTAAGCATGCCATCCATAATATAAATCCCAACCCTCAAGTATCAAAATGACTAATGACCTTTTTTGATGCTTATGAGCGTTGCAGCATCCTCATGGTGATGTGATCAAAATTCGAGCCCTTAGCAACTGGCATGTATTTATTATGACAACTGCACTGTCCCAGAGTCATGTGATCACCATTTATAGCCTTCCAAGATGGCTTCAGATAAGCAAAACCAATGGGGAGAGTAGGATTTGCTTAACGACCACCTGATTCATTAACAACTGCAGTGATTCACTCAACTTTGGCAAAAAGGTTGTAAAATATGGCAAAACTCATTTATCAACTGCCTTGTTTAACAATGGAAATTTTGGGCTCAATTGTGGTCACAAGCCAAGGACTACTGGTATTGTTTGTTACAAATTCATTAGAAGGAAGAAACTAGTAAGATGTAAAAGGTTGTCCCAAAGGTGCTTTTTCAGGAGACAACTGGACTTTCTTGTTTTTCTTTGAAGATGTTTTGCTTCTCATCCAAGAAGCTTCTTCAGCTCTGACTAGATGGTGGGGAATGGAAGGATTCCCCAGATGTCTGCAAGAAATATAAATCCCTCCATTCCTCACCATCCAGTCAGAGCTAAAGAAGCTTCTTGGATGAGAAGCAAAACATCTTCAAAGAAAAACAAGGAAGTCCAGATGCCTCCTGAAAAAGCACCTTTGGGACAACCTTGACCTGGATGACTGAGAATCTCCATAGACATGTAAAAGGGAATGATGCATAGAATCTGATCTTTTCTTTGGGTTCCTTGAGCTGGGCTATGAAAGAAATTTGCAGGACATTCTTCCTAAGGTTGGATCTTGGAGAGCAAAAAGTATGGCTGGCTCAGGAATTCTGGGAGTTGAAGTCCACAAGTCATAAAAGAGCCAAGGTTCCCCACCCCTGGTCTAAGGCACTGGAACTGTCCCCTTAAACCCTTCTCAGATTTAACTGGGATGTCTATGTCCAAGTGAGGCCATTCTTTTAAAGCTCCATTGAACTCCTAGGAATGTGAAGGAACCTCTCGTTTTCAGGGCCATAGTATATCATGTATCTTTCATATCAAAGTCCGAGGCACAAGTTTCACCCAAATTATAATGTTGCACAAGGTACTGATTGAGTGAGGTGATAGAAGAGACCTTTGTTTCTTCAAGGTAAAGATGACAGTTTCGTTCATGGAATGATGCTGTGGTTCCTTTCTCCTTCTTTTCAGTGGCCTATCCGACATGGCATGGTTGAAGACTGGGATCTTATGGAAAGGTTCATGGAACATATTATTTTTAAATATCTTCGAGCTGAACCAGAAGATCATTATTTTTTAATGGTAAGACCAACAGGCCAATGGTACCCTATATCAGGGGTCCTCAACTGGCTGAGGAATTCTGGGAGTTGAAGTCCACTAGTCTTAAAAGTTGACAAGGTTGAGGACCCCTGCCCCATATCATGTTTAACCAGGGCTTTTTTTCTCAGAGAAAAGGTGGTGGAACTCACCTCCCTCCCCTGGCCACGCCCCCACCCAAACCTGGCCACGCCCTTCTTGCTCGGGCAGGGTCGCCTAGGAAACGGGCCAGGGGCGCGCCGACCGAGCCTCCCTATGGCCGCGGTTGTGAGCCAGGCAGGGGCAGAGAGCTGCGAGTGCGAGCGCCCCCCCCCAGATGTTGCGCCCGGTGCGGCCGGCCCGGAAAAAGGTGCCGGAACGCGGTTCCGCCGCGTTCCGGCTGAAAAAAAGCCCTGTGTTTAACTATTATTTATATCACATTTTGACATTAGTAATATAAGCACACACTTAAAAGAAAAAAAATGGGAAAGTCCCCATCACAAATGGTTGGAACTTGGAGCAGGATTTATTTGACAAATAGATTCACAATCCTGATTTTACACACTGTCCCTTTAAAAAAAAAATATCCTAAGAATCTCTATAAAAAGTTTATTAGAATCAGGAGAGCCAAAGTGAGAGAATATGTTAAGCAATAAAGAAAACAAAAAAGAGATGGTAAATATTCAACACCAGTTTAATTGTTGCCAATATATTCAAAAAATTTTAACCGTCAGTTCGCTAACTGTATTCTTGTCAAAACTTTAGCTGTCAGAAGAGAGAATTTCAATGAACACATATGCTATCTATCAACCTTGATAAAATATGTGATTGCTATCTTCTTTATTTAACTCTGTCTTTTGAAAATAGACTGAACCTCCACTGAACACACCTGAAAACCGAGAATATCTTGCAGAGATCATGTTTGAATCATTTAACATACCTGGACTTTATATTGCTGTGCAGGTAAAATCAAATCGGTTCTTCCTGTGATGCTGCTTTTGGCCCTGGAAACAAGAGGCTTCTCTGTGCATTTAGTTCTGTTTTTTCAGAATATGTTCTGGAAGAGGGTGTCCAAAAGATGAATATGGCAGTTGCAACACCTGTTAAAAAGGAACAGAGTTTGGATCATACAGTTGCAGGTCCCATCTTGACTTTTTTTTTAAACCTCCCAGCAAAGTTTCTGTGATTGATGTAGTGAACGTTACTGCTAAAGATCTGATCTTATATAAATAGAAAGAGGAAGCGATGTCATTCTTACAAAGTCAATTTGATTTTAGGAAGGAAGGAAGGAGGGAAAGGAAGAAAGGAAGGAAGGAAGGAAGGCTTTTGCTGTGATCTCACTATATTTTATCTCTGTAGCAAAGATTATTTTATTGAACTATTTTTCCAAATTTTTATGTTTTGCATTATTGCATAATTTTAGCCTTCCTTCCTTCCTTCCTTCCTTCCTTCCTTCCTTCCTTCCTTCCTTCCTTCCTTCCTTCCTTCCTTCCTTCCTTCCTTCCTTCCTTCCTTCCTTCCTTCCTTCCTTCTCTCCTGATCTGGTCTTCCACTACTAGATCTTCTGTCCAAGATTTACTAGGTCAAAACTTCCTTAGCTTTCCTGAGTTTAGCCAAGGTCAGCTAAATGCTATCCTTAGCTGAATTTATCAATAATAAAAATCCATATTAATTTCTTACAAATGTAACTGTCATCACTTTCCCCTGCTCCCAAACTTTATGTAATTATAATTTGCTGAAGATATTATTCCATTGATCCTTTTTATAAAATTAATATCTAAAATTCTTGGAAACAGAGAAAATTACTAGAAGAATGAGTCTTCCTTCCTTCCTTCCTTCCTTCCTTCCTTCCTTCCTTCCTTCCTTCCTTCCTTCCTTCCTTCCTTCCTTCCTTCCATAGCTTCACAAAGACTAGGGGAAACTGTTGGTTCCAGTTAATGTTATCAACATGTTTGGGGCCATTTCTTTGGAAAGATGTTTCTTCTTCCACCACAAATAGTGCCTTATTGAATCAAGGCAGCCCTGTTCCTTTCCTGTCTAGACACTGCTCCAGGAATCTGACATAGTCTTGCGATTATTTTGGTTTGTGGACTAACTAGCATGGGGACCAGAGAGAACATCTGTAGAAGTGGAAGGCATTATTCTAGGACAGTGTTTCTCAACCATAGCAAGACCTGTGGACTTCAACTCCCAGAATTTCCCAGTGGGCATGCTCGCTGAGGAATTCTGGGAATTGAAGTCCACAGCTGTTAAAGTTGGTCCAGGAAATATTGATTCAGGAAGACCAGTCTGCCATTCTACAGAAGGCATAGAAAGTGCTTTTATTTTTAATGTTATTTTATTAAAATGTCTTTTAGGTTTTCTTTTCTTTGGTTTTTTAAAAAAGAGGAAAGATTGATTGATTGATTGATTGATTGATTGATTGATTGATTGATTGATTGATTGATTGATTGTATAGAGTCCCACTTGGGCTGGGAATTTACCAACTCTTCGGGAAATTGGTGAGAAATTCTGTATTACTGTCGTATTTTTTCAAATTACCTTTCACAGGCAGTGCTAGCCTTAGCTGCATCCTGGACTTCACGACAAGTTGGCAACCGTACCTTAACTGGCACAGTTGTTGACAGTGGTGATGGGGTGACTCACGTCATTCCAGTGGTAAGTATGATGTACACGTAGCCCTCGGCTTAGGATCATTCATTTAACGATGGGTCAAAATTACAGTGGCCTTGGAAAAAATGATTGTGCTCTCAATGATTATACTCACCATTCCCACAGTCACATGACTCCTTATGGGATCACAATTTGGGAGCTTGGCAACCAGCTCTCATTGATGAGTGATTGCAGTGTCCTACAGTCACACAATCACAGTTTGCAATCTTTTATGCTGATTTTTGGCAAAAAGAAAATGTCCATTGCGAAAAACTGGATTTGGTTAACATGATTTGCTTAACAAGTGCAGTGATACACTTAATGTTTGCTGCAAAAATTGTCATAAATTTGGGTCCAAGTTGACTGCAATGACTTATTATGGAAATTCCAGTCTCAGTTGGGGTCATAAGTTAAGGGAGTACCTGTATGCTCTTAGTTTTGTTTTGGGGTACTGCTGGTTACACCAGAAAGTAAGTTTTAGGTCTAAAGAGGTGAGGAAATGTATTAAGATAGTGCAATGGCTTCGGAGGATGTACTTGGGAAGACATGAACACAACACCTGTGTGTGGCTGTTTAAAGCAAACACATCAGCTTACAGAAGCTTCTGTGTCATGCCTGAAACCATAGAATTTATTATCAATCTTGTAAATTCGCAGGATTCTTTTTTTCCGCCATGTATATGTATGTATACATTCAGACTAGACTGTGATGTTTCTCTGTGTCATATATGTGTGTGTATGTGGGTATATGCATAATGGTATTTTTTTGAGAGCTGAATGCAACACAATTTCATTTTAGTGTATGCTGATTAGTGTACATTTAAAGTGACAATAAAGTTCCTAATTCTATTCTATTCTATTCTATTCTATTCTATTCTTCTAAGGTGGTGTGCCATCTTGACTTTTTTTGTTTGCTCTTTAAAGTTCTATTAAGTAATATATATAGTTTTAACTTATAACCATTCATTTAGTGACCATTTGAAGCTACAAGAATGCTGAAAAAAGTGACTTACAACCAGTGCTCATACTTACAACTGTTGCAGTATCTCCATGATTAACTGATCAAAATCTGGGCACTTGATCAAAACCTGGGCACTTGGCAACTGGCATGTATTTTCGATGGTTGTCATGTCCTGAGGTCACATGCTCAATGGAGCAAGCTATGTTCACTTAACAACTGCATGATTCGCTTAACAACTGCAGTAATTCACTTAACAACCATGGCAAAAATATTATAAAATGAGGCATAATTCACTTAACAACAAGTGAATTTTTAAGCAACACTTGCTTAACAATGGAAATTCTGGTTCCAACTGTGGTTGTAAATCAAGGACTACTGTAACTGATTGAAAAGCAGGATGCACTCAGCCTCAGATTCTGAACTGGTTATACTGTTGGACATCTAAAGCTGAGTAACTTTCTCCCCCCCTTTGGAAGGCAGAAGGTTACGTAATTGGCAGCTGCATCAAGCACATCCCCATTGCAGGAAGAGACATCACGTATTTTATTCAGCAACTCCTAAGGGAAAGGGAGATGGGGATCCCTCCAGAGCAATCCCTGGAAACAGCAAAGGCTATAAAGGTAAATACTTTCTATTTCTCTAAATTCTCTAGAAATACTGAACAAATTGTGGGGGAAATGGGTGAAATGTAAAGTGTGCTTCCCATGGTTTCTGGATATACCATTTATTTTAAAATGATGGTACAAGGGACTTGTAAAACATTCTGTCACAAAATACCTCAATCCCAGAATAGGTTGCTCCAGCCTCAAAACAGATTGTTTTTCACAGAAGCGTTCCAACAATTAGTTCCAACATTTCCAAAATCCTTGGAATAGCCTGATTAGGAACTGGGATCTTCTGTGAAGGCTGCCTTTGGAGACAAGGAAATGCTTAGAGTGTCTAGTAGTTAAGGCTAGAAATGTGGAGACTGTGAGTCCTAGTCCTGCCCTAGGCATGAAAGCTGGCTGTGTGTCTTTGGGCCAATCACCAGGACACTGTGAATTCTAGTCCTACCTTAGGCATGGAAGCTGGCAGGGAGTCTTTGGGCCAGTCAGTCTCTTTCAGCCCAACCCACCTCATAGGGTTGTTGTGGGGAATATAAGAGGAGGAAGGAGTATTAGGTATCTTTGCCACCTTGAATTATTTTTAAAAATAGTAAAAGTAGGATTAAATAATAATAATAAAAAACTTTTAAGATAGTTGGACTTCAACTCCCAGCACACTGGGGAATGAATGTAAATGTCAGCCTCACTAGATGGACTTGACCAAGAAATCAAAACTAAAACTATGTTGATTGAGATTGGATATAATAACAGAATCTTGCAAGTCGGATTGAGCTGTAAGCCTGTCAACACTGCTAACATCGGATATTCTTGCTTTGACAACATATGGAGATGCAGCCATTTTCCTTCTTACGTTATATTCTTAGAATTAGATGATACTGGGGAGGGGGAGGAGGAAAGGAGCAACAGCAATTTGAAGGGGCGGCCTTGAAATGCAAAATATTGCCCAACCCCATTAAGTCAACATAGCTCACCAGTTCTCTGATCATTTTTTTTTACTCATGGCTTTCAGGTCCTGATAATAAACATTTTTTTCTTCAACATTGTACAATATAGGACCTCCAAATGAGCTGTTAGAATGCAGAATCACTTCCAGAGAAGTTACACTTTTAATCTTACCTTCTTTCATCCAATGAGACAATTCCCTTCTTTATTTTATCGTTTGCAGGAAAAGTACTGTTATATTTGTCCTGACATAGTAAAAGAATTTGCAAAGTATGATGTTGATCCCCACAAATGGATTAAGCAATACACAGGGATCAATGCCATCAATAAAAACACATTTACGATAGATGTCGGCTATGAAAGATTCCTTGGGCCGGAGGTTTTCTTTCATCCAGAGGTAAGAGACAAGATTGCTATAGTAGAAGTCATTGCAGTAGTAGTAGTAGTAGTAGTAGTAGTAGTGGTAGTAGTTGCAAGGGTGGTAATAAGAAAGCAGGAGGGCAGGCAGGAGGCAGACAGGAAGGAAAGAAGGCAATGGTACTCATGGGTGTAAGGCACCATCTTATGGCCAAATTATTTTCTAACAGTGTTAGAAAATGCACAACTTCCACTTGATATAGATTAGTCATTCTCAACCTTAGTAAGTTTAAGATGCCCAGAACTGAAGGGAGGCTGGCTGGGGAATTCTGGGTGTTGAAGTCCACCCATTCTAAAGTTCCCAAAATTAAAAAAACATTGCTTTAGGTACTGTAGAACTGCATCAAATTATTATTATTATTTTTGTTTTTGACATGATGTTTATTCTGGACAGAAGGCCGTTCATCTCTTTTGGCCACCTCTTCTTTGACCAGCAGAATTAATGGCTACAGTTAAGATCCACATTGTAGTATGGCCATATCCTTTATCATCCAACCCAGGCCTTTTATGTGGGGAAAGGTGAAAAACTAGCTGGGAATGAAGACTGAAGGGAAACAGATGTGGAAGGCTTATGAGTTAGCTGCTGTGGGGAAGAAAGGGGCATCTTGCAAGGGAAGAATAGTGGAGAGTGTCTGGGGCTGATTTTGCACTCACAAAGTGCTGGCCTTGCTAAACAACTGTTATTAATAATCCTACTTCACTAAGAAATGAAAAATCCAGGACAAACACTAAAGCAGATGGAATGCTAGGATAACAAGCATAAACTGAGATGATCCAAGAAAACCAGAATGGTTGGTCACCTTGTCCGTGAGAAACTCTTTTTAAGAAGAGATTGGACCACCATTTGTCTGAAACGATATAGGGTTTCCTGCTTGAGTAGGGGGTTGGACTAGAAGACCACCAAGGTCCCTTCCAACTCTGCCATTCGGTTAAATTTAAAGTGTCAGAGCTGTTATTGACAAACTCAGCTGGCTTTGTTTTTCAGGAGCTCTGATGATGTAAGTTTTTATAAATCAGTACAGAAAGTGGATGAACTTGTCAATTTTCTAACCCAGCAACGGGAGAAATAAATGATGCTTCCCTGCCCAGCTATGTGGAATCCAGAGAAGTTCCCCCCCCCACCTTTGACAGTTCCTTGTTATTATTGGTTGCATGTCACTTCTTTTGCTCACCTACAACAGATCTTGTCAGCTCCCAAGGAAGGACCTATGACAAGAATTGGGACCAGAATGTCTGCCACTATGTGATGATATTGTTAAATGAGTTGCACCTGATTTTGTGACCTTTTTGCCATGGTTCTTAAACAAATCACATGGTTATAAAGCGAATCCACTTCCCCCATTGACATTGCTTGTCAGAAACTTATTGGCAAGGTCACAAATTCCAATCATATGACTCCAGGATGCTGCAACCGTTGTACATATATGTGCCAGAATTTTGATCACATGACAGTGAGGATGCTGTGACAGTCGTAAACACAAGGACCAGTCATAAGTCACATTTTTCAGCAGCGTAACTTCAAAGGGTCATTAAACCAATGGCCATAATACAAGAATTACCGGCACACTTTTTTCAGCTGTTATAACTTCAGCTGTTATACGTTTAAACCAGTTTTCATAATTCCAGTGCTTTCTATATGTGCATTACTTGATTATCTGCCTCTCTTATTTATTTTTAGTTTGCCAATCCAGATTTTATGGACTCTATTTCGAACGTTGTGGATGAAGTTATACAGAACTGTCCCATTGATGTTCGGCGTCCTTTGTATAAGGTACACAGAGAGACAGAATTATTAAATGACATTCAGGTGAAATTTGAAGTCTCACACCATGTGTGTCTTCCTGCTGGTTTGATTAGTAGCTTGTAGATAGAGGGATAAACAGAAATAGATTACGATCTTGAAAACATACTTTTGGTAAAACTGCTTTTATTTTCCGTGTTGTTCCAACACTGAACATTTCTGAACATTATTAGGTGTCCAGCTATGGATTCAGCTTTTCTCATGCTTTTACAGTTCATCAGTTCTTGGAGAAGTAGACAAAAATCACACATTTATTTTTTATTTGTTTTATTATACTTAACAAATTTGGAGCCTGCTCATCTCACTGACAAGATATTTTTACCTTGATGGTTCCTGGTTTATGATCCAAGGGGCACTGATGACCCACAAAATATGGCAGGTGACTATTGAGGTAGGCAAAAATGAAATGAAGATATTATAAAAATATTTATATTTTAATCTAGTTGCTGGAGATGGCCTATCCTCACAGACTTTTGGTAGCCTCATAATTCTGAAAATATTATGAGATTTACTGATCTCGTGAAATTTCAGCTATTAAAAAATAAACTTTTAATAATTAAATCCATGCATATGTTTGTCGAGTCGAATAGAATGGAATTAGAATAGAACAGAGTAGAAAGAATAGAATATTTTATTTGGTCAAGTGCAATTAGACATACAAGGAATTTGTCTTACATAGCTTTATTTTTATTTCTTTTATTTTTATTAAAAAAAAACTTGTAGAGATAAACATATTTAAAATGGTAATGTAATTTAGCAGAAAAAGATTCATTTAAATTTCCTTGCCTACTATCTCTGTGCATTCTTAGCTAGTTTATTTCTTAGCCATCCTAGCACCCTTAAGTTATCTTGCTGTGATTAAATATTAGTTGGCATTTTCATACAAGTAAGGAGGTACATATTTCATTTTCTGACCTGGGAAGAGAAAACCTTTTGTAATGGAATGCATGGATAATCTTGGGGAAAAGGGGGAAGATATGTTGGCCAAGAAACAAGGTCATCATCTTCAAAGGCCTTTATAGCGTGGGTTCAGGGTATCTGAAGAATTGCCTTACTCCAATGGTATTAACCGCCCCACTCATTCCAGCAGAAAGGGCCTACTATGGATCCCGTTAGCCACAGAAATTTGGCTGGCAAGGTCCAGGAGAAGAGCCTTTTCTGTTGTGGCTCCCAGCCTTTGGAATAGTCTTCCATCAGAGGCCTTCCTGGCCTTCTGGAAGACTCTAAAAACTTGGCTGTGCTGCTTGGTCTGGGCCCTAATACAATGCGATTGGCTGACAGAATAGAGATGATTCTCACCTCCAGGCTGCCCATCATTTTGGTTCTTAACTTTTAATCTTTTTATTCAAATTTTAATTTTTTTTAGTACTTTTAAACTTTTTGCTATGCAGTGATAGCTTAGAGCTCAACTGCTTTGAAACTCATCGAATTTGGTACTCAATGCATTTTGACATGAAAATTTTGTCCTAGTACTCATTGTTTATTTGGTACTGTTGCTTGATTTGTTTAGTTTGTTTGTACACACAAACTAGAACTTGTCAGTGTTGGCTGCTTGTGACTCACTACATTATTCCTTATGGGAAAATTGTTTGGTACTCATCATTTTTAGTACTCATCGTGCGTCCTGGAACCAATTAACGATGAGTACTGAGGTACCACTATGTTGTAAGCTGAAAGAAGAGGGAGTCAAGCTATTTTCCAAAGGCCCTGAGGCAGGACAAGAAGCAATGGAAACTAATCAGTGAGAGAAGCAACCTAGAACTAAGGAGAAATTTCCTGGTAGAACAATTTATCAGTGGAACAACCTGCCTCCAGAAGTTGTATATGCTCCAACACTGGAGATTTTCAAGAAGAGACTGGACAACCATTTGTCTGAAATGGTATAAGGTTTCCTGCCTGAGCAGGGGGTTGGACTCGAAGACCTCCAAGGTCCCTTCCAACTCTGTCATTCTGTTATTCTGTTAGATGGGTGGAATAGAAATTTAATAAATAAAATAAAATAAAATAAAATAATAAAATAAAATAAAATAAACAACCAGGCAAGAAGGGGAGGTGCCCTCAGTAGCTTAATTGCCACAGATAGCAAGGATCCACCTTCACTTACTTATAACTGGGTCAAGCAGCTAAAAAAGGCTATGGGGAATTTCTACCCTTAGACTTGCAAGATTCTATTAATGTAGCCCTACAATAAAGTAGGATTGATCTATCTTGTGTCAGAAATTCAGAAATCTCCTCTTTCTTTCTAGAGATACCTCTGGTAGAATCTCATTTATTATGTTTCTAAGAGTTAAGGAAACATGACCTCTTTTAATTCCACTACTGCTTTTTTCCCCTTGAGAAGCATATCATGTGCAATTTTCTTTTTCATGAATTTATTCTGTAGATTTCGTTAATGTCCAAAGTTTTCTCTACTTCCAACTGAAGATAAGTGTTGAGCAAGTTTTCCATTTCGCTTTTGAGATTTTCTTTCACCCAATCCTTAGATACCCTGCTAAAGTTCTTTTTACTATTCTATTTCACTATTTCCAGTTTAGCTTCCAATATATTTGGAATAGAAATTTAATAAATAAACAAAATATTTAGCATTTTCAATTTCTCTGATTTAATGATGTCTTTTTGTATCCTGCCTACAGATCTTTTTCATTTCTTTATCCTGGTGTTCTAACGTGGCCATTCAGTTGTCCTATTTATCAATAAAGTCACCTTTAAGAGAATCCATTTTTATTTCAAAATCTTGTTTTAATTGTACCCAGAATTTCTTTTCATTAAAAAGCAATGGAACAAGGTACAGTTAGTCCTTGATCTATATCAGTCATAAGTCACTTATTTTTTTTAGTGTGGTTGTAACTTTGAATGGTCACTAAATGTATGGTTGTAAGCCAAGGACGACCAGTATACAATTAAGAGTAAGATTTAAAAAAGTGATACATAGATATAATATATAAATTCCAGATAATAGTGTGAGAAAAAAGATATAATGAAAACCCTTAAAAGAAGACTACAGTCTAGTTCTAAGCATTCAGTTCTTAAAAGTTTTTTAAAATACTGTTTATACTAAAACCCAAACTCTGTCTGCCTATCTTAATTTAAATTTAATTTCAAAATGGAAAACCCCCAAGTACTTATTCCTTATCTTGGAGCCCCCTCTTGTGGCAAGAAAACAATCTCATAAAGTTCATAAAAAAAGAATTTAAAAGTTTGATCAAATAATTACAGATGAAACAAAGCTGTTTGCATTAGGAATATAACCTGGTTGCAGGAAATAAAATAAAAATAAGATAAATAGAATCACAATAAAAATACATTGTTCTCAGATTAGTAAAATCATTATTAGTAAAATTGTATTGAAAATACAATTTCTTTATCAATCTGTGATGCTTGTTGAACTAGAAAGAGTAAAATAAAATATAAGAACTATTTCCTTTGCTAAAAACTTTCTAGCTATATTAATCAAATCTACTGTAATTTGCTACTGTCCATGTCCCTCCTATAGGCAAATTTATAATTTTAAAACCATTATTTTAAAAAATGTTAAACTCTCGAACACTGGAAAAAAGGAGTCAGTTGTAAAAATAAATAGGGCTGGCCTTCTGAATTCTAAAAACATAAATGTACAAATTCCAAAACTGAAGAGCAAAGCTCAAATGTTCAAAAGGTAGCTAATGAAAAAAATTCAAGTTAGTAGATTATTGAGTGAAGTAATCCTTAGTAAAGAGAGTTCAACTTTGCTGACACTTAGTCATCACTATCCATAGATGACATTTGGAGCAGGCTATAAATCACTCTGAAGATTTTATAGTGTTAACAATAGAAGAGAATATTTGTCGTTCATGGTTGAACTTTGGCGTCCTTGGTGCTCTCTGAATTTGGTTGTTTTCTTGCAGACGTTTCATTATCCAATTTACTAACATCATCAGTGCTAGTGGGTGTGGGGTTTGCTCCTGTACTTGCATTGATTATGTTACCTAGTTGGGTAATGAAATGGCTGCAAGAAAACAACCAAGCTCAGAGAGCACATGTTTATAGTGTTCTGGGGTCATCTTCTTTGGAATAATCTCCAGTTCTTCTCTTGGGTATCTTGACATTTAATCATAATCAAGAATGAAAAAGGGAAACTGGAAACAATTTGTCCACTGAAGAAGACCCCTTCTTGATTTCATGAATGAAGCAATACCGTTTTGTAGTAGACGTTGTCTTAAAGTACCTTCATAAAAGGAATTTCAAATGAAAGCCCTTTTTGTATATCTTACATATATATCTTTTGTATATCTTTTGTATATTTACTATTTACTATTGCTTTCTAGCCATAACATATTTGTGGATTAATTAGTTTTGTTGTACCATACACAATATAGGCATTTCTAGTTAACATTAACACCTACTTTATTACCCTTTTGTTTTTATTAACTGCTGGGCAAACTTTTCTCCATGAATAATGGATGGATCATCCAAAAGTTTCATTTCTGACCTTCAGTTTTATAGTACATTATTATTCAAATCATTTTTACCCCAGGTGCTACAATTCAATGTAGAAGTTATGGAGATTATTTTCTGCATCAAAATTCATCAGTTTCCCATATTCCATCATCAACTGGGTTTATATGTGCTGTAGTAAATTCTCTGATTCTCTTTTCCAATGTTTAGGCTAGTGATGGCGAACCTTTTAGAGACCGAGTGCCCAAACTGCAACCCAAAACCCACTTATGCATCGTCGGTTGCCGGGTGGCTGTGGCCCATTGGGTGGGCATGGCTGCGGTGGTAACGGCAGACTGGGTGGGACTAAAAAGTTCAATCAATCAATTCCAATTTTGCAAGATCTTTTTTTTTTCCTGCGAGAAGTTGAAATTGATTGATTGATTGAACCTCTTTTTTTTGTGTACACAGTGGCAGAGGCCTAAAGCGAAAAGGTTTTATAAAACCCAGCTGAAGGCCTAGGACTGGGGTGATGGCGTGCGTGCCCACAGAGAGGGCTCTGAGTGCCGCCTCTGGCACCCGTGCCATAGGTTCGCCACCACTGGTTTAGGCAGATCTTATTAACCATTCTAGATTTATTTGCTATTAGGTAGCAGACATTTTCTATGTTCCTTGACTTATGACCACAATTGGAACCAGAATTTCTGCTGTTAAGTCATGCCCAATTTTGTGATCTTTTTACCATGGTTGCTAAGTGAATCACTGCTGGCGTTAAATGAATCGCCCAGTTGTTAAATGAATACGACTTCCACCATTGACTTTGCTTGTCAGAAGCTGGTTGGGAAAGTTACAAATGGTGATCACGTAACCCTGGGATGCTGCAACGTTCGTACATACAGTATATGCTAATTGCCAAGCACCCGAATTTGTTCGTGTGACTGTGGGGATGTTGCAACAGTTGTAAATGTGAGGACCGGTTGTAAGTAACGTGTTTTCAGTCATGGTCTAAGGTTCATGAGCAGAGGACTGCCTGTATTGCTGTGGCTGAGATAAAGGAATTAATAAAGGCTAATTCTCATTAGCCTTTCTAGTCATTTGAAAGAAGTAAACCAACCATTTTCTCAAAATCCATATCAGTTTAATTAGCCCTCATTATTGCAATCTGCCATGTGAGGGAAAAGGATTGGGCCTTAAGTCTATTTAACATAATAAATATTACATACATGTGTACCCTTCTATAGACTAAGGTAAATTATTGAGGTGAGATAAAATGTCCATGACCTTCTCAGTTATGGAAATTTGGAATTCTTTGTTCTAAAATATCTGATTAATTTTCACCGTATCTTCAAACGCCCACTTAAGATCTTATAATGTGTTGGTTTGGACTACTGTTTCTTAACTTGACAAGTTTAAGATGTGTGGGCTTCAACTCCCACAAGCTGGCTGGGGAATTCTGGGAGTTGAAGTCCACCCATCTTATAGTAGCCAAATTGAGAAACACTGGTCCATGCTTAAATTAATGTGTTCCTTCTCCAATTTAGCTGCTGCTTTCTTTCACTTCTGATTCGATTCATTTTGTAATGGAGATCCTTATTTTAAGCTATATCTTGAATGCTAAGAGAGCTACCTCACACATAGCTGGAAAATTGTGATCAAAATAATTTTGAGAGACTGTTGCTGAGCTGCAGTAAGAAGGCTGTACTTGAGAGCAAATTTGCTGAGATTAATAGTGGGCAATCGCTCCTAATGGTGGGCATTTATATGTTTTCATTGCCTTTGCTGTAGATTAGAATTTGATAAAAATGTTTTAAATCAGGCATGTGCAACCCGAGACCCACAGACAGCTAGTAATATAGCCCAAGATATGTATACTGAAGAAGAATTGTCTTGGGCCGCATATAAAATATAGTGTAATTACTGTATATAAGTCACATAATAATGTTAAGTTAAGTATAGTTTATAGTAAAATATAGTTAGTGTATATAAATCACATAATTATATGATTGTATGATTTATATACAGTAACTATATTATATATTTTATATGCGGCCCAAGATAATTCCTCTTCAGTGCAGCCCAGGCAAGCCAAAAGTAAGTGGACGTTCAATGTGAAGGTAGATGCATCTATGGGGTATCTGTGTCAAAAAATGGCATCTTTGCACTAGAAACTCATGTAAATATTCATAAGTGAAATGCTTGTGAAATTTTGATTGCACTTTGTGCGGTGATGATGGCCACCAACTTAGTTTTTTTGATCTCCCTGCAGAATGACCATCAGTAGATCAGTCATGTCATACAGGAAGTCCTTCATTTACTACTGGTCACTTAGTGACCATTGGTAGTTACCATAGATCCCCCCCAACGATAGTTATGACTTGATTTTGAAATTATGATGCCCGCAGCCACATATACACTCCCTCCCTGTGGTCATGTGATCACATTTTGGGGACTTGACAGCCGTCTCATTTTTACAGCTGGTTGCTATGGTCTGTGGTCACATGATTGTGGTTTTCAATGTTTTTTTGCTGGTTTTCGACGTTTGTTTTAGTTTTCAGCAAAAACTGCCCTTGGGGTAAAATGGATTCACTTAAGACCATGGCATTTGCTTAACAACCGCCACAAAAATATCATAAAATCAGGCCTAATCATGTAGTGACCCACTTAATGACTGCAATATCTTCCGAACATAATTCCAGGCTCAATAATGGTTGTAAGTTGAGAACTATCTGTATGGCTGCACCTGACCTATCACATTTGTGTCCTGCTGTTCCTCAAGGAACAGCCTAGAGAGAGAAGATCTATAGATCTGATTGTTTTAAAAAAAAAGTTTGGTTGTATTGTCTAAAGCCCCAAAATGTTTCTTTGTCATGTAGAATGTGGTGCTTTCAGGAGGATCTACAATGTTTAGAGATTTTGGTCGTCGTTTACAGAGGGACTTGAAAAGAGCAGTAGATGCTCGACTAAAAATCAGTGAAGAACTCAGCGGTGGTCGAATAAAGGTAAATTGATTTTATTTCCCATTAAATGCCTGAACAAACAAAGGGAGAGCCCTGAACTGATTAGCAAGGCCTGTAAATCAGATGACATTTTTATATGCTAATTGCATTTATTCAGGCCAGTATCCCATTCTAAAATGATTGACAAAGAAGAACATTGTATTATTTATATGATGAGAGTCAGTTGAATTCTTCAGGTTTAAAGAAATGTCCAATATCCAGAAAATGCTAGAACATTTTCAGCTCAGCTTATTATTTTGTAACAAAAGTGAGATTTTCGGCAGTCAAAGGTCTGGTTGCAAAAATTTAGTTCAAAGGATTTCATTCTGGTTAATAGGAGTGGAGTAGAGGATGAATGAGAGTCATTTCGGTGTGGCAGTTAGGGCATCAGGCTAACAAGTGGGAGACTGTGAGTTCTAGTTCTGCTATCAAGGCTGCTAACATCGGATGTTCTTGCTTGACAATATATGAAGAAGCAGACATGTTTTATTTAACCTGTGTATCACTTCCAGAGTTAAAGTCAGACAATGTTAGAAGGGAGGGGGGAAAATATGTACTCGGGGGATAGTTAGCCATAACAATATTTCAGTACAGTATTTCCAAGGTCAGTTGTAACCAGAGGAGATACAGGAGGGAAAGTTCACACTTCAAACTAATTGGAGAACGTGATTGATGACTGTTAAATGAAGGAGTGAGTTATGCTTTATTACGGGTGATTGGGGGAGGGATAATTCAGTTTTTGGCTTCATTATGTACATGCAGAAGCTATGTAGCAATAAAAGGATTCTTTAAGGTAAACAAGGCCTCAAAGTTCTTTGAAAAGCTTCTTCTTTTGGAACCATGACATCTGCCTTAGACGCAAAGCCACTCTTTCTCAGCCCTAAGAAGAAGGCAATGGCAAATCACGTCTGAAAATCTTGCCAAGAAAACTGAGGGATTTTGTCCAGCTAGTTGCCAGGAGTCACGACAGGAAGGGAAAAAAAGAAAGAAAAAGAAAGAAAGAAATAGAAAGATCTAAAGTTAAGAAAGGAACGGAAGGAAGAAAGGAAGGAAATAGGAAAGGAAGAAAGAAAGAAAGAAAGAAAGAAAGAAAGAAAGAAAGAAAGAAAGAAAGAAAGAAAGAAAGAAAGAAAGAAAGAAAAAGAAAGAGAAAAGAGGATCAATATTTTCTCTTTGCTGGACCATATATATCCAAGCTGTGATTGTAGCAACAGGGTAAAAAGAAATAGCAGAACTCACAATATTTTAGGCGGGTGCTTGAATTCGGCAAATATAATTTTACATTCTTTCTGTTAGAATAATAAAGCCTCTTGCATTAGGAATGGAGAGCTCAAATCTTGAGTATTGGGCCATAGAGATTTGCAACCCACATTGCTGGAATCTGAGCCAGCTTTATTAATTCCGCACAGATGGTTATTCAGAATCTCTTCTTCCATAATAACTCATTAAACACAGTGTGCTGTTCCAACTGGTAGGCCTGGTTAACTCAGCCTGTGTTGTGTTCTGATAATATTCTGTTTTTGTTTTGTGTTTTGCAGCCCAAACCTGTGGAGGTTCAAGTGATCAGTCATCACATGCAGCGTTATGCCGTCTGGTTTGGCGGATCTATGCTTGCGTCGACGGTATGTCTTTTATTAAATCAGCTGGTCCTAGGAAAACTGCACATCATCTGTTCGATTCCTAGGCAAGGAATTGGCTTCTTTATTGTTCCCACCAGCAAATAAACTCACTGTTTTTCCCATTACTGGTTAGACTTACACCTTGCATTACTGTAATAAGATCAATATGGAGAGAACAAATTTTGTTTGGCAAAATCTGGAAAAAAATTACATTTCTCAGTTAAAAAAAGAATCAGGGACTGCTAAAGATATCTGATTAGATTTGTCTAAATCCAAAGAACATACAGGTAATTCTCACAACTGGTTCCTTAATCACCATCCAGTGTACCTCCCCATAGCTACCTATGACTCATTTTTAGGGCTACAATGATCACATCACATGAGCTGCATGTTGGGCACTTGGCAACCTGCTCACCTTTGCAGCTTTTGGCAGTGTCTCACAGTCACATAACTGTGATTAGTGACTTTTTTGGCTAGTTTCTAGTGTTTTACTTCCAATTTTCAGCAAAAAAATGTCTGTTGGGGAAAAACAGATTTGTTTAACAATCATGGCGTTTACTTAATGATTGCAGCGTTTCCTTAAAAGAAAGGTCATAACTCTGAATCTGATCATGTGGTGCCTTGGCTTACAACCACAATCTTATAATTCCGGACTCAATTCCGGTCATAAGTTGAGGATTTCATGCAGGGCACAAACTTAGATGATCTGCATTTAAGAAGTAGTCCTAAGCATCTTAAGATGTTTGCAATTGGCAATTGCTGTTTTCAAAGCCCAGGACCACATAAATACGAAGCATAGAATAGCCCAAAGCAGACATTCTGGTAGAGAGAAATTCTCTGAGGATGGGCTACAGCAGGAGTCTGAAAGCTTGGAAGACTAAATCTCTGGTTCCAGTGACTGACCCAGATTGGTTCCTTCAGCATTATCCTGGGACACGTATATTTGCCTTTGTTCCCCAGCAACTCTGCTTCAAATTCCAGTATTTGAGGGGCTGCAACAAAGAAGGCGGCAAGTACCAAAGCACCAGAAGGCAAGACAAGAAACAACGGATGGAAATTAATCAAGGAGAGAAGCAACCTAGAACTAAGGAGAAACTTCCCAACAGTGAGGACAATTAACCAGTGGAACAGCTTGCCTTCAGAGGTTGTGGATGCTCCATCACTGGAGGTTTTTAAGAAGAGATTGGACAGCCATCTATCTGAAATGGTATAGGGTCTCCTGCTTGAGCATGGGGTTGGACTAGAAGACCTCTAAGGTCCCTTCCAGCTCTATTCTGATTAACTGAAACTTCTCCAGCCTTGAGTCTTGGCTAACTGCTCTAACTGTACTGAATTGCTGTCGTAGAACACTTTTTACAATTCTGTAGTCAGTTCATGAAAACTCAGAAAGGTGCATCACCTTTTCACCTTCTAATTTGGAATAGCTCCTAGCCAATCTGAGACTTCCAAGTTCAGAACCAGCTCTTTCTGGTGGTAACTCAACAGAAGCAAAAATAGTAAGTCAGATAGGACTTTTGACAAATAGAACATAATTCTTTATTGGTCAACTGATAGCAGTGTTCCAATATCTCAGGGGCTGCCATAAAGAAGAGGGAGTCAGGCTATTTTCCAAAGCGCCTGAAGGCAGGACAAGAAGCAATGGGTGGAAACTAATCAAGGAGAGAAGCAACCTAGAACTAAGGAGAAACTTTCTGACAGTGAGAACAATTAACCAGTGGAACAACCTGCCTCCAGAAGCGGTGAATGCTCCAACACTGGAAGTTTTTAAGAAGAGACTGGGCAGCCATTTGTCCAAAATGGTATAGGGTTTCCTGCCTGAGCAGGGGATTGGACTAGATGACCTTCAAGGTCCCTTCCAACTTTACTTTACTATTATTATTAACTGTGATTGGACGCACAAGGAATTTGTCTCTGGTGTATAAGCTCTCATGTACATACAAGCAAGAAGTGATAAATCATGATCATAGTCATAAAATACAATCATCATAAATCATAAGATACAATATTCAGGGGTGATCATAGGATGCTAAATAAGCAATCAACATAAATCATAATAGGATACTAAATAAAAGCAATCAACATAAAATATAAGATACTACAGTTATAGTCATAAGATGCTAAACAAGACATCCCAGGGCAGTGGTGGCGAACCGATGGCACGTGTGCCAGAGGCAGCACTCAGAGCCGTCACCGCAGTCCTGCCTCTCCTCGTGGCCCCCTCCTCACCAGCAACCCCCCCAGAGGAGAGTCGCCCCGAGCGCGGCCCACGCAGAGCAGTGCAGCCAAGGACATGGCAGCCGAGCAGCGGGAATGAGACGCCGCCCTCGCACCCCGTCGCATGCAGATGATGCTATGGGCAGAGGGCATGGCCACCATGGCACTGCTGGGCTGCCTGAGCGATCTGCGGCGGGCCATGGAGGAGGTGAATGGCCCTGCGGGCAGGTGGGGTAGGGCGGGCTGGGGGCAGGGGCGGAGCTAGCAGGACGGGGTGGGGCAGGGCGGTAGCGATTTTTGGGCACTCAGTCTCTAAAAGGTTCGCCATCACTGTCCCAGGGCATAAGACAGTGTTGTGGGAATTAATTGTTTAGCAGAGTTATGGCATGGGAGATAAACTTTTATTCTATTTTGAGAAATCATGGCGTAAGAGTAGACTTCAGCAAGTTTTCATGCATGTAATGACTTTGCATCGTAGTATAACGTCTGCTAGAAATGGAACAAAGCCTTTCTGTATTACTTTCTTTAAATTTCTGTTCCTTGTCCAAAGGGCTTTTGCTAAAAAAATATCTTAAGTATATGTGTCTCTTTCTTTCAAAATTAACTGCCATTCTATCTTTGCCCTGTGTAGTAAATTCCTGCTATTTCCAAGGAAGATAAATGCACTATGAAGGTGATCATGTACTACCAATTTTTCTTCTGGATTGGTTCATTTTCTTGATCGTACGTTTTCACGTGCAGCAGCTTCTGATCTATCCTTAATTTTTTTTTCTCAGCCAGAGTTCTTTGACGTGTGTCACACCAAGAAAGCCTACGAGGAATATGGTCCTGGCATTTGCCGTCATAATCCTGTTTTTGGAATTATGTCATAAGATTCACAGTGCAGCATCAACACGGTGCAGCATCATGGTGCAACTCTGGGGTCTGATGGTGAACTTTCTGCTGACAAGGAGGAGAGAGACTTGGTGCAAATACCAAAACTCGGTGTGGTGTGGATGCTTCCCTACCTAGAATATGCATTAGAATCAGGGACTTCAAAGCAATGGACCGGCTAGAACTCAATGGAGAAAAATGACTCAACTTGATTGTTAAATTAACTCCTTTCTGCAAGTTAGCTTCTAGTATATAACATTCGCTTTGGTAGAAAGGGTGAAAGCAGAAACTGTTTAGATCAGTGTTTCTCAACCTTAGCAATTTTAAGATGTGTGGACTGCAACTTCCCATGCTGGCTGGAGAATTTTGGGAGTTGTGGTCCAGACATCTTAAAAGTTGCCAGGGTTGAGAAACAATAGCCTAGATCAGGGGTCTTCAAACTTGGCCCTTTTATGACTTGTGGACTTCAACTTCCAGAATTCCTCAGCCAAGCATGACGGCTGAGGAATTCTGGGAGTTGAAGTCCACAAGTCATAAAAGGGCCAAGTTTGAAGACCACTGGCCTGGATGAACAGAAATCCAGATAAGAACCCAAAACGTGATTTTGTTCCTCCTGAATCTGACATTAGTTTTAACCTTATATTGCAGTGTTTCTCAACTTTGACAATTTTAACCTGGGTGGACATCAACTCCCAGAATTCTTGGCTGTTATAGTGAATTTGGCAAGAGGAAAGCTTAGCCATTGTAAAATTGGTGTCTTGTTTCATTAAAAAAACACCCCACATTTGCAATATACAAAGGTTTTGAAAGTCTTATACTAATGATTATGTTTGTGGTTGGTTTTTCTGCATAAGAGTACAAATATCATAATGCCCAATTTGCGGAAGTGATCTGAGTGTTTAGGTAAGGCCTATAATATCATGTTAACAAGCTACCCAGTGCTATTTGAGAGTGAGATGAGCAGCTTATAAATATAATAATAAGTCTCCCTTGCCACTAGTACAAAACCTAAGATTCTTTGAAGATGTTATGGGTTTTTTTAATGGCAATGTTTATATTGGGCTGAACATGTTCTGCTTCTGGAATTAATTTGTAAGATTTATTCCTGCTATTTATTTGATTTTGGGGGTTATTGTTTTAAAAAGTTTTAAAAATGGGAATTGATGGTGAAATAAAAACAGTTAATGTGTTCACAAACAGCTGTACTTGTTATATTTTATCTTGTTAAGGCCCTTTTCTCCATTTAAAATAGTCCATATTTTGCTATAGAGTGGGGCTAATTTCTCAATACATTCCTGGAGAAGATATAATATGATTTTTTTGATTAATTTCAGGAAGAACCTAATGCAGTTGAGTGAAGAGTCAACCCAATGCTGACCTTTCTTTTTTTTAAATTGGCGACTAAAATTGTGGCTGGAAAGCAGTCATTTTGCCAATGAATTTTGGCAGTATATTACAGAGATAGTCTGGCAGTGGTGGGATTCAGCCAATTCGCACCAGTTCGGTAGAACTGGTAGCTAATTTTTTGTTGCCCAGGCCCAGAATGGACTTCCGGAAGCGGCATCCACACAGAGAACCGGTTGTTCACATATTTGAATCCTACCACTGTAGTCTGGGTGTTATGAAAGGGAACTGTGCTTTGCCCACACCTGCTGTGAGTGAACATTTGCTAGCACTCGTTCACCACATTTGTATAAACAGCAGGTTCAGTGACCCAGTTCTTTCCCTCTGCTTAGCAAATTCTGCTAAAAGATTATTCCAATTTCTGGTCTTGGGCGGTTCAAAGCAGACAGAATCTTTTGTCCCTGGATTCTTTAGTGGAATCCATTTTTATTTTTATTTTTTAAACAAGCCTTTAAATAAGGCTGTAAGAGGACAATTACAACATATAAAATATTTGCAATTTCTTTCAATTAGACTAGTTTGACACATCCATGCCTTCACTGGATCTGATTGGACAAAATAACCTTTTAGTCAAATACGGGACCTGTCTTCAGAATTATTTCATTATTATAAGATGTGATTACTTCATCATGAAATACAGACATGGGCCGGATACAGTGATATTTATGTAATAGTAGAAAACCCATGAGCCACTGGATCGTGGTTTCAGAGATGTTTCCTTACCTAACAATAACAACAACAACAACAACAATAAAGTTGGAAGGGACCTTGGAGGTCATCTAGTCCAACCCCCTGCTCAGGCAGGAAACCCTATACCATTTCAGACAAATGGCTGTCCAGTCTCTTCTTAAAAACTTCCATTGTTGAAGCATTCACTGCTTCTGGAGGCAGGTTGTTCCACTGGTTAATTGTTCTAACTGTCAGGAAGTTTCTCCTTAGTTCTAGGTTGCTTCTCTCCTTGATTAGTTTCCATCCGTTGCTTCTCGTCCTGCCTTCAGGCGCCTTGGAGAATAGCTTGACTCCCTCTTCTTTGTGGCAGCCCCTGAGATACTGGAACACTGCTATCATGTCCCCCCTCGTCCTTCTCTTCATTAAACTAGACATACCCAATTCCAGCAACTGTTCCTTATATGTTTTAGCCTCCAATGCCCTGATCATCTTTTTTGCTCTTCTCTGCAGTCTTTCTAGAGCAGGGGTGTCAAACTGCTGGCCCGTGGGCCGGACGCATCACGAAACCTCGCCCATCCCATTCCCGGCAATGGGGAAAAAGTTCCGATATGTTGCGCGACATCATGTGACGTCGCGAGTTTGACATGTCTGTTCTAGAGTCCCAACATCTTTTTTACATTGTGGCGACCAAAACTGGATGCAGACCAAAATGTGGCCCCGCCGCACCCCCCGACCTTAGCAATGCCTCCCTTGCAGCCTTGTGCACCATCCCAACCTGTGCTGTGCTCATGCAACCTGTGCACCTTCCCTGACCCGTGATGTGCTTCTTATCCGCCCTTGGGCACCTTTCCTGATCCACATGGCACCTCTCTTGCACTCCCACACATCCTCCTTAACCTGTGCAGTGCCTGCCATGTACATACAGGTAGTCCTCAACTTACAACCACAACTGAGCCCAAAATTTATGTTGCTAAGTGAGAAATTTGTTAAGTGAGTTGTTTTGCTCCATATTGACGACTTTTCTCTCCACGTTTAAGTGAATCGCTGCAGTTGTTAAATTAGTCACATGGTTGTTAAATGAATCTGGCTTCCCCACTGACTTTGCTTGTCAGAAGGTCATAAAAGGGGTTCACGTGAGTCCAGGACCCTGCAGCTGTCATAAATGCGAGTTAATTGTCAAGCATCCGAATTTAAATCACATGACCATGGTCATAAGTATGAAAAACGATCATAAGTCACTTTTTTTCAGTGCCGTTGTAACTTCGAACAGCCACTAAATGAACTGTTGTAAGTCGAGGACTACCTGTATTTGCACTCTTGTGCATCCTCCCTATCCCATGTGGTGCCTCCTTGCACTTCTGTGCTCACCCTCCTGAACCCGCTTGGCACCCCTCATGCATTCGCCCCCTTGTGCATCCTCTCCAAATTATGTGGTGTCTCTCCCTCCCTCCATTGTGTCCTCCCTGACCTACTTGGTGCCTCTTGGACACCCCCACATCCTTCCCCACCTGCACCCACCTCTTGTGTACCCTGTTGCTCTCTTGCACAACTTGCCCATCCTAGGCAGGGCCCCTCACACACACTTCCTGTCCTGCATAGCGCTTACTCTGTTACCCCTGCACACCTCACTCTGTCCTTGAAAATGAAACAATCACAACTTTTCCAAGTTTCTGTCCTATAGGAGTGATAGGTCCTGGATTTGGGATGCATTCTATAAGCTCATTTGAGATAAATGTCATGCACCAGTGAAATCAGAAGATCCAGGCAGTTCAGATAAGAATAAAGATTTATTCCAAGCTTATGTTCTCTGCAAGAATCCGAACTACTAACGGCCAAAGGAAATTGGAGGTCGATAAGAGTCAAAGGAATTCAAGCTGGGCTGGACTTAGACCTCTTGTGGACATGAAGGGACTCGAGACTGATGATGCGTTTGACCCCTCCCTCGGGTTCAGCAAGGTCATCTCCTACAGATACCTTGGTTCAAAAACCGTTGCTCTATGATGTGCTGTTTTCCCCAGCTAAGGATCACAAACAGACACAAGAACTGTAGTAGTAAATAAACTAAAAATTGCTAACACTGTAATAGTTTAGGTAAGTTAAACCTTTAGAGATTAAAAAAGATTATATCAGTATTGGATATAAATTCTGAAATTCTGAAATGTTAATATATATTATATTGGGTTGCTTGAATTGCATAATTAAAGCTGAGTATAGCACTTAGTGACAATTGCTGTTGTTTACTACTGTGGGATCCCATCGCTGGATGAATGGTAAGATCATGGATCTTACCCAGTTTTACTCTAAGGATGTGCAATAATCAGCAATGGGGAAGGACTGGATGAGTCAGCCAAAAATGTGCACGTAATAACTTTTGTTTAATCATCCTGATTTGACATTTTTAAGAAATATCTGGTTGGCTTTCCATACACTAGCTATCCTCTAGGCTGCCTCACTGGTAAATATTTAATGACCCTTGGGGTTCTTTGTGATAAATTTGAAAAATGTGGTGCATATGTCTCACCATCAAAGTTTCAATTAGACTCAATTAGCAAAGCTTTGACGTGATGGGAAGTGCTGATCCTTCTGTAAATAATTCATTCTTTATGATCACGCTGTTCTCTCTTGTCTAGAAAAAGAGCACAGGGGTGCCAAACGAGTGTCTGAAGGCACTAAAGCGAAAAGCTGGCTCAGATTCACCCTGGAGAGCAACAGAAACAGGAATAAATAATCTGCAATTTAATTGTCAACTGGAAAGCATTACATAACACTAGAGAGTGGGAAACAAAGCTACGAACTCTTGCTTTGGAATATGGCTGTGAAAGGCCTATTTTGTTTAAGGTCACATAGTTTGAGTTGAGCAGTCTGCTGAATCAATTAATCAGAATACAAAATACAGAATAACAGAATTGGAAGGGACCTTAGAGGTCTTCTAGTCCAACCCCCTGCTCAAGCAGGAGATCCTATACCAGTGATGGCAAACTTTTTAAAGACCGAGTGCCCAAACTGCAACCCAAAACCCACTTATGTATCGCCGAGTGCTGGGTGGCCCGCTGGGTGGCCGTGGCCCGCTGGGTGTGGCTATGGTGGTCATGGCAGATGGGTGGGCAAGGCCAGGGTGGGCGTGGCCAGCTCACTGTTGCTCCTGGGGAGGGACGCCTGTGCAGGCCGGGCAGGGTTGGGGGAGATCCAGGGCATTTCTGGCGGGTGGGGCGGTGGGCAGGAAGCTCGTCCTG